GAGGCTCAGGGAGGCCCAGCGCGGGCGCCTGTCTGCCTGCGTCTCGGAAGCACCCCAGGCCGGGCCCACGGAGGCGCGCGAGCCGGGGTCTTGGCTCCAGCAGATGGCCGCCCTGGCCGCGTCCTCACGTGACCTCCCGTCCGCGCGTGTCCTCACCGCCTCTGATGAGGATAGCAGTCAGCTTGGATGGGGGCCCACCCTGATGACCTCACCCCAACTTAACTACCTCTCTGAAATCCTATCTCCAAATAAGGTCACGCTCGAGGTACAGGACTCGAGGCTTCCACATGAGACTTTGGGAAGAGGACAGGGTCAGCCCGGCGCCCTGGGCGCGCTGGAGGCCAGGCCGGGACTCAGGGGTCCTGGTCCTCTCAGGGGCAGGGGGACACCTACGCCCACATCCCCGCCCCAGGCCACACTGGCAGCCTCGCTGGGCCCTGTGGGTGCAGTGCAGAGCCACCCCGACGGACAGGTCCAGACGGCCACCAGCAGCCTGCTCCCGGGACCCACCGCCCGGGTTATGTCCCTCAGCCAATGCCTAGCGGTGTGCGGGTCATAGGTGGAGACAGCCTGGCCGGGCTCTGAGCTGGCACAGAGCTGGCCACAGGGCCGAGGCTCAGGCAGGCGGCCCTCAGGGTGCCCCTCCCCGCCGCTCTGGCCTCCCTGCTTGCTGCAGTCGGAGGCTAGGCAGGCTCCAGGCTGCTCTCCTGGGCTGCTGGCCGGCCAGAGGGCCCTCGGCCTTCTCCTGTGTCTCCTGCACCTGGTCTTGTCTCTTCCCTCCTCCTCACATCCCCTCCCTCCTCCCTTGCGCTCCCTCTTCTCCTTAGCCCCTCCTCCCTCCTCCCCTCCCTCCTCTGCTTCTCTCCTCCCACCCCTCTCCGCTCAGCCACACTAGCTCCTCACTTTCAGAGTGCCCCTGTTGGCCCTGGGTGTTCCTTTCCTGGGGATTGGGGCAGCTGCCCTGCTGCGACCCGCCCTCCCTCCGTGAGACTAAGCCAACAGTGGCAGCAGGTAGCGGAGGCAGGGACTGGCTCCAGCTCCTCGGCCTTCCCCAGCATTCCTCGAGGGCAGGACAGCTCCACAGCGGGGCAAGGGCCTGCCTCGGGCACCGACCTGCTCCGACTAGTGGGGGCAGAGCCTGCGGGGTCAGCTGGTGGTCAGGGAACACTCTGTGACCCGGCCTGGACGCTGAGGCTGAGAAGGTGCCAGCAGGACTCAGCAGCCCTGCAGGGAAGCCAGGAGTCAGCAAGGGCTGCCTAGCGGGCCAGTGGGCAGCTCTGTGGCGGCTTGCCAGCCCTGCCAAAGTAGCCGCCCTGCAAGTGTGCGTCGTGCACACACACACACACACACCCCCCGAAACAAAAGTCTCAGGAGGCCAGCGTCCTGCGATGCCACACACCCTGCTATCTCTTCCCAAGTGCCTGCCCTGGTGTCCATTGACCACTGGTCAGCCCCCACCACCCGCAGGGAAGCGCCCTGGGGACCTGCACGTTCTGCTCCACCTTTCCCTGTGGCCAACAGGTCTGTGCATTGTCATATTCTTCACCTAAAAACCAGAAGGCTGCGGCCCTGGGCGTCACCGACACGTTCTCCCCGAGGGTAAAAGGCTCAAAGCCACGCAGGTCTTGACCCCCCAGTTCCGCTTCTGGAAACGTGTGCTGGGCCATGGCTAAGCCCCTGCAAGCCAGGTGCTCAGGCGCTCCCCAGCGCGGCTGAGAGGGGAGCCCGCCCGAGCCAGGGCCCACTGCCAGGGGGCCGCGCCTCACTTCCGTCGCCCTGGAAAGAGGGGCGCAAGAAGGAAGGGCAGCTTGGAGCCAGACGTGCGCATCCCGCCACGAAAGGCTCCTCTCGCTTTGCTCAGAAACGTAGGCAGCTATTTGCAGGCGCTCAAGCGAAAGGTTGCCTGGGGTCGGCTTTAAGTTCCGCTCCGGACTTCGTCGCCCTGGGCGAGAACTTGCACCAGGGGCTATTTCAAAGGAAAAGAGAAGAAAGGGAAGAACCCAGAAATGGAAGCGGAAGATGAAGGGAAGGAAGGAGCGCGGGGGCGGAGAAAGGAAAGGACAGGCCGGGCGGCGGGGGTGCCGGAGCTCCCGG